AAGGCCAAATGCTGGGTCAGCCCTGATGGGGAGTTGAATGCCAGCAAGATTAGTGTTTGTGTTTGTGCTAGAGATGAAACTGAAAAGCCCGAGATTTTTAGTGCCTATTGTAGATCTGTTAGCGCTTACCTAGAGCTAAAACTGTCCCTGGAGTATCACATGAAACCAAATTAAAACAAAACAAAAGTTTTACCAAAGTTTTACTGTCCTGCTCATAGCTGTTCTGCGAGGTCTACAACCTACCTCTCTGCCTGAAGATCTTTTATTTGTAACTTCAAATCATTTTGGTCCAGAGCTTCTAGGAACTCATTACACGGCATTACCATTCCACATGCAGATTGAAGGAAAACAAATATAGCCTTAATTTTCTGAATCCATTACCCAGCTCCCTTGATTCATTTATCTGGAGGATTGAGAACGCCAGTTAATTTCTTTTCCATAGTTACATTTTCCAAAATCATCGAAAGACTAATCAGAAGCTTGTAGCTAATATTTGCGGTTTGTTTGGTTTTCTCCTGTTGTTTGAACTGCTTCCAATATGTCTAGCCAGTGACATTTCTTCACAATGCAGAATAAATACCAAAACTATGGAGGAAAGAGTTTTGCTGGAGAGAGCAGCAAGTGTATTGCATTGTAAATACAAAGTTTCTCAGAGTGATCCCTCTGTCACTTCCATAGCAAGGAAATGGCAGAGCTGGAATAATTAGTTTACTGTTTATAGATATGATTCCAGTTCTGTTTTGTTCAGTTTGAAAGACAGACTTGCTTACATTTCTTTTTATCCATTTTTTTGTTGTTGTTGTTGTTGAGAAAGATTGGATGAAAGAGAAATATTAATCCTCTTGGGCTGTCTGCTTTTATATTGCTATTACGAGAAATGTTGGTGGTGAGACCACCCCACATGACCCCAAGTTTAGGCTTTGGGCCCCAAGCTGTTACATTTATTTATAATAAAAGAGGACCTCTGCTCTTGAACTGTTTGCAATCTAAATAGACGAGGCAAAATTATCATCCTCATTACATAGGTGGAATACTGAGGCACAGAGCAATTCAGAGTCTAACTTCAGCAAGCTGGCTTCAAAATGGTAGGCAGTGAAGCACTATCAGTGCAGTAATCTACATGCTGCTAATTAGCCTGGATGGATGCTGCAGTTACATGTTTATATGGCACCTGAGATGCTAACTAGGTTTTACACACATGGATGTCCTGAATCTACAGCTAGCGCTGTGTGGTCAACCTCACTGCCACTGCTTTATTTCCTTCTCTTCTGAGTTTGGTACAAAAAAATATTACTGATAGAGCAATTTAGGGAAGGGATCTTTAGAGGCCATATGGTCCAACTGCTTGCTTGAACCAGCCAGCTTCAAAGTTCAGTCAGATTCCCCAAGGCTTTGTAGGAAAATTCATCTTGTGAAGACGTTTCCCCTAAATTTAGTCAGAGCTTCCTTTGTGATTTGTGTCTGTTGCTTCTCGTCCTTATGCTGGGCATCTCCACCCTCATTAGGCAGCTGTAGACAGAGACTGAGATCCTTCCTTAGCTTTGTCTTCTGCAGGCTGAACAAACCCAAATCTCTCATCCTCACCCCTAACCATGCTGGTGGCTCTTCATTGAATTTGTTCTAGCACCTCAGTGTCTTTTCTTGCACTGGGAACACAGAAACCTGTGAGAGAAGATACTAATCCAAAGACATTAATCCAAAATCACATTCTTTGGAAGTGGTAAATTGTGTTCTAGAAGTCATCCCCCTTGGATCCTGGTGTCGTGGACTTTTTTGCCTCCATTTCTGAGCATAAGCTACCACGTTCCTCGCCCTCACAACTGATTCTCTAGCAGTTCATAGTGTATATCCTGATGATCTGGAGCTCTTCCCCATGTACACCTCCTCTCTACTTTGCTTATCATGGCCAGCGATGCACAGGAGCATTTGCAGTGACATGACCTGCTGAGCTGTGCAGGCTGCTGTTTATTTTCATTGTTTTTTCCAGCATGCTGTTGGTTTTGCATGTTCTGCACAATTTTGGATTAAAATTACTAGACAGCGCTTGTTGGTTCAGTGAGGGGAAAGGTCAGGATTTGTAAAATATCCATAGTTTGCTCTCATTATTTGTTCATAGAACAGTGGTTGGGTTTCAAAGTAAAATTGAGTCCTTCCCCAAGGATGCTGGTGTGGGAAACGTGTGTTTTCTGGTTGTTGTTGTTGTTTGTGGCATCCATGAATTTCTATGTTTGCAGAATTCGTGCTGTCTGTTTATGGGCAATTTAGTGCTTTGGCCTTCAAGGGGAGTTCTTTGTACACATATGGAATTTATTACACATGATTTGTAGAGCCTTTGTAGATTTTCAAAGCAGAGAAGAATGGGATTTCACAATATAGGAACTATGAGCTAAGCTATGAACTAAATTAAAACACCCTCAAAATTTGAAAACTCTTTGTCTTCCTAAAAGTGGAAGCGCACAGTTTGTAAACAGTGCAGGCTGTGTGGCTTTTAGCTAAAGAAAACAAGATATTCAGCTGCTAAACTTTGAGGTTTGGGATTTCTGCAAAACCTCATAATGGCTGTGACCAATTCATCTTTTGTTGTGACCACTGAGGAATTTTAGAAGTTGGAGTCATGTGGTTCCAACGTAATGTTTGGGAAAGAGGGTTCCCCTGCTTTTCCAGGCTGCTGTTTTTGTTGTCAGGATGAAAGGACATGTTGTGGGAAGGTCTTGTGGTGAGGCACTGCTCAGGAAGGTGAGCTCTGCAGAGCCTTGAAAGCTGAGACTAATGAACTTTCTCCTTGATAAAGATACACTAGATCCCAGCGTGGGAGGAGGTAGATGTCATGCAACAGCTTTGAAAGAACATTCTTTAAAATATTGCTTTCCTATTTCTATAATTGAGTTCCAGTGATTCCCTTGGTCATGGGATTACTTTCCCTCTTGGCCCTTTTGTTGTTTTTGCCTCTCTTATAATTCTCTGCCAATCCTAAACCACTTTCCATGTATTTCAAAGGCTTTCCTGAAGATATGGGACATTCCTTGTTTTACTCTTCTCTTCCAAGATCTTTGTAGGCTGCACAGTTGCTAACACCAGTGTCTTTGAGGATCTCAGTTACAATAAGTTGAAAAATAACAATGCTATCTGTTGTTTGATGCCTATGGCAACAAATATTTATAAATATGTATTTACTCAACAATTTTGAGACACCCTCTACAGATCCTTTTTTCCATTTTGGAATTGAATCTCACATTTCCTTCCAAGTGCTTGGGAATAATGGTGTAGGGGATCTAATTAGCTCACGCCCAGAATAAGCTGTCTGTCTGCATTTAAGGACCCAGCAAGGACAAGAGACCATGGGTTAAGATACTTACAAATGCAGTAGGTTTAAACCTAGGTCACAGCCTTGGTCTCTCCTAATCCCTTCCTGTGGCTTGTGCCTTTTGCTTTAGGTGGGCTCTGTTTTTTTCTGATCGTTTTAAGTCTGTCTGAGGATGTTGGGTTTAAGGCCTATTGTGTGTGATGACATTCAGAGTCCTGAATACTGTGGTCTCATCTGAACTCTGCCTCTTAAGTGATTGAGTCCAGTCTCTTCCCGTCACAAGAAGTGACTCAGGAACAGCTAGCTATTCTTCCACCATCATGGAAAGATACATACCCTTGATCAGAGGAAACATGTACTTACAAAGTCTAATGTGAGCCCAGCAAAGTATAAATTGCTTTTACTCATCAGTGTTACGCCTTCTGATGTTCTGGTTGTCTAAGAAGACAGACATCTACGTGGAGCCTGGATGAAAGCAGCTCTTTCCTGTAAAGTCAAGGGCCCTGCTAGGACACAGTGTATCTAGAATTTCACTTTGTACTTATATGCTCAGCATTTTCTGAGCCACCAGTGTTGCTCTGTAATGACTCTGAGGCACATCTGGAATTAGCAATGTTCACATCTTCTTAATACTTCTGTGCCACTTACCTCCTGCCTGGCATTTTCCTGTTTCTCAAATACACTTTAGTACCATTGCACCGATTAGAAATAAAAAGACATTCTGAGATTTGAACTGAAAAAAAATAATAATCCCTTTTCAGAATTTGCACCGTTACAGACCTCTTACGATCAACTGAAATAACTGATTGCTGAATCTATATTTACCATTTACAATATACAGATATATTTTACCATTTAATGCTGAATTAACTGGGATGGGAGGCAGGCAAAGGGAATCCTTACCCAGTCCACATTACTTCTGAACTCATGTGCACTCATGCCTCTTCCTCATTCACTGTTCGGGGATCTTCATCCAGCCCAGTAATTTCAGAGTGTCTGAGTCAAAATAAACCATACACAGAGCTTGTGGGTGAACAATTGGATAAGAATAGTATAAAAAGTGGTGTGGAGGTGGTCAGCGTAGTTCAGAGCACACATGCAAGTACCACATTATTGCTGTTACAAAGCAATACAGTAATTCCCCACTTAAATCATCCTGACAATTGCCCTGTGCAGATGAAGATCATTTTCCCTGAACAAAGTCCAGGTTACAAGAGGTAAAAATCCTGAAAGAGCAGTGTCAGAGAAGTGTGGGTTGGAATTAGCTGGATACAGTTCTTTCAGGTGGAGAACTGGTGATTTTTAATTTGTTTTTCCTATTTTGACTTAGAACACACAGAACTGCAAACAGGACTATTTCCTCAGAGTCATTGGGAACGGCGAGACTTATGTACACAACAATTTGTGAGGAAAAAGTATTTTCCATCTATTTCAGGTACATCCACCAGAAGCAGCTGTAGCTCTTGCACAGGTTTTTGACTTTGTAATCACAGAACCATTTACCTAAATTTTTCCTCACAAACTATTGTGTGCAATAGTTCTGGACGCAAGCACAAAGAGGTGGTTCTGTTTACAGATCTGTGTGTTCTGCGTCAAAATATATATAAAAAAAACTTCAAAATCACCAATTCTCCAACTGAAAGTGCACAGGCTTTAAATATGTAGCCTCACATCATGGCAGCATGTATGTAGTACATACACAGATGTCTTTTTTCTTATTTAAAATACAAATTAGGAAAGGAACGGTTGGTGAAAGCCGGGGTGCCTCAGAGCTGCCTGCGGGAGGGCTGCCCCCACCGCCACCACCCATTACCAACAGCGGTGCTTCGGAGAAGATAAAAAAGGGTTTAAATGTACTTCAAAATGCAATAAATTAATGCCGATGACTCCCTCCTCGGCTCTGTCTGACCGGACAAACGCCGAGCTCCGGAGCCACCCGTGCCGGGCGCTTTTCGGATGGCGCTGCCCGTCCCGCGGCCGGGCCCTGTCAGGGAGCCGGGCATGGCCCCACCGCCTCCCCCTCAGCCCCCGCTCATGTCCTCGCCTTCTCCTCGGCCACAACCCCAAGAGAACCGGCGGCGACACCTCAGTGGCTCCGTGCTGGGGCTGAGGGGCTCCGGGTTCCCTCCCTCCCTTGCCTCCCCGCCCCTGCCCTGCATTGGCTGCGGGCGGCTGACGGGCAGCCGGGGAGGCCGCTGGCAGCCGGCCTCAGAGGGGCATGCCTGCACCGGGGGGTCCGTGCCGAGCCGAGCCGAGCCGTGCCGAGCCAAAAAGGGGCCGCCAGAGCCGCTCCTGAGAGCCGAGATGGGGGTGGAGATCGAGACCATCTCTCCGGGAGACGGTACGGGACCTGCCGGGGAGCGGGGGGCAGCCCTGAGGCTGACGGAGGAGCTCCGAGGCCGGCGGGGGGGGGGGGGGGGGGGGGGGACGACCAGCAGCCGCCAGGCTCCTGGTTACAAGCGGAGGAAAAGGGGGAGGATTTATGGGGTTTTCGACCGGCAGCCGCTGGAGCTGAAGGAATTGGGGAGCTGGGGGCAGCCCTGCCCCAAAACTTTGCCCGGTTCCTTGCCCCCGGCTTGGCGCTGGGGTCCCCTTGGCGGAGCCCGGTCGGGTCCCCGTGCTGTGCCACCGTGCTGGAGCACACCCAGAGGTCTCTTTTGCCGCTGTTCTTTTAAGATTTATTCATTTTATTCCTTTATTTATCGGAGGAGAACGCGATTTCTAGCATACAGCCGTGAGCATCCCTCCAATAGCCCAGGTTCACCCTTGGCTGATAATAATTTCCCCAAGTCCACCTGCCGCTTAACTTTGGTGACCCCCCTCTCTTCTCTTTTTCGGCTTGGGATTTTTATTTTTTTTGGACTTCTCCCTCCGTGATCTTTGGCTCCGGGGATCAGACCAGCTCCTGGTTGTAAAATCAGAGCCCTGGCAAGGGGGTGAGCGGCGGTGCAGGGAGCATAAAGGGTGGCAGGCAGCCTCCTAACAGTGCTGAAACGCATCAAGGCTGCCTTTGTCAGCAGCGCGCTCTTCCACATGAGGGTCTGCGGGTTATTTCTCTGGGTTGCAAGCCTTCATCAAAATCAGCTGACTCGAAAACGCTGTCGTAAAACCACAGCTCGTCACTGGTCCTGGGAATCTCTGCTTCTAATTCAGCTGGGATGTGAATTTGTGGAGCTTCGCCGACTTTGCTCCCGCGGTGCAATCTGTGGCGGTGGGGTCTGATACTCCCTCCTTCTGTGCTATATTTAACAGTGCATCCTGTGAATAACACCTATTTTACCAAGCGTAGGGTTCGTCTTGCATAACTTTCCTCAGGTTAGGTGTCTAGTCTAAAGCAGTCTTCCCATTTTTATTTTTTTTTATTATTTTTTGCATGTTTTCTTTTCTTCCTTTTGTGGTCGTCTTGTCTCTCCCAGGCTAGTCTGGGTTTCTCTTAAGGCACTATGATTTCTCCATTGTCAGTAGAGGATCTTCTCTTTCTTCTCCGTTTCATTCTACAGCTCTCGGTTCATCCTAGCCTGCTCTCCTGCTCGTGTTGTTTCTGGCATCCAAGTCCTAAGTACATAGCTGATGTCTTATTAGGTGTTATACCCCGTCACGAATAACTTGCTACCATGTTAATTCAGACCAAGGAGGCCAGAGAAATAAACTAGATATGAGCCTTAGTTTCTATCTAAATCCCCATTTCCCAACTTTCTGACAAGGGCGTTCATTAATGATCAGTCTCATTCATACTTCCGAGCCTGGGCTCAGCCCTGGCCAACATTGCTTTAGAAATCAAGGTTAGCTGCTTCATTATGCAACTAACACCTTTGTGAGCCTGGAAGGTCTTCCCCTGTTCTTCAGTGCCTTTGGCAGTACCTACAGCAGGTAACATGGAAATAGTAATTCAATTTTTCAGTGGCAAGACTAAAATTTAACCATTCTTTTCCTTTCAGTATGAACATTTGAGGGGTAAGTACTAGGCTCTTACAAGAGCTCAGTGTATCATTGCTTTACTGTTGCTTGATACTACCAAACTAAACTGCCTTTGTATGTGATTTTTTTTTTTTGTAAAACCCTTCCCTGCTAATTAGAGATGCCCTTGCTAGAGCTGTCTCAAGTGAAATGTGTTGAAATGTGAATACAAATGGATTTTTTTATAATGTCAAACTAAGACTTTACTTGGAAAAATCATACCAAAAACATTCTGAGAATTTTAAGGTTGTATTTCATGAAGTTTTGACAGTCCTTTTGCACTTACAGAATGGAAGTGTATATGTAATGCACACACATACAGGGAAAACCACATTACTGTGAGGAAAATATTATTTGGTCTAACAGCTAAATAGGAGCCAAGCTGAAATCTTCTACCCTAAGCTCTACCCATTCCTGCCCTGCATATAATTGATTTGATAAGGCATAGTCAATACAAATCTCAGTCTAGCATTTTCCTCCTACAAGTTAAACATGCCTAGCTCAATCAGAGAAGATAAAAGAATAACCTTTTATGATTTTAACAGGACGGACATTTCCAAAGAAGGGTCAGACGTGTGTGGTGCATTACACAGGTAAGGTATCTTTTGAATACTCTCTCATTACCAGCTGCTTTATGCTCAGAAGTGTTTTGTCAGTTCTGATGTGGTTGTATTTTTTTGCTTTGCTCTGCCATTCATAATCAATTTGCTTGTGTTGCGATGGGTTTCCTGAATATTTGACTTCTAGCTGAGCTGTTCAGGCTACAGGAGCTAGCTGTGCCTGCTAGTAGATTTGCCAGGTGTAGTGTTTAACGGTGAGAAGTTGACAGATGAAACCGTGGACCTGATTCTCTAAGTCAATACGTCAGCAAATGAAATTGAGCATGAAGCAGTGAAAATACTGGGTTCATATTTTTCCAGCGTCTGATCTTGGTACAGACAATTAATGATTGTTTATATCTGAAAAGCATGTGTCCATGTATTGGCACTAAAATTCATTCCAGTTTGAAGAGATCAATACAAGGTCTGTTTAACACCTGCTTTATGGACTTGCATGGATCTTAAGCGGTGAGTTGGCTAATGGAGCTGTTTACACCCCACCTTTACACAGAGGGAAAATGTCCTTTAAATCAGTTTGTAGCATTGTGCTTTGCATGTAGTTACATAAATTGCCAAAAGGATGCAAAGAGTTCTGCAGCCTGAGTCCAGAGCTGTGAATTTCACATCAAGAGCTGCCATTTTGTGCAGTCTTTTCCTTAATTATATAAAATAAAGGTGATGTGGGGATTGACAGCTATTGTTCTGGGCATGGATCCACAAGGTAATGTTTTCCTTCAGAATTCTATATTATAGGAAAGTGATCACGAGTAACTGTTGCTTTATTTCGGCTTTGTACTTGGTTCTGTAGCTTATAACTAATTATTCATTATTACTAATGAAGTAAACTAATGAAGTAAAACTAATGAAGTATTTATATTTTCAGGAAGCTTTTTGACATACTTTCAATATCATCTCTCCTCAGAAGGTTATGTGGGAGTTAGCACACCGGTTTGGGACATAGGATATCAGGGTTTAAGCTTCTTTACTTGTATATATTCAGAGTATTGTGATATAAGGATCTCTGGTTGGAAATGGAATAGTGGGCAAGTTAAAGACATGGGTCTCTGTGCCAGTCTCAGCGCTTACAGACGTTCCTCTGTGACTTGGATCTGAAAATAGATGTTTTGAAACTGTTTTTGTGAAGATGCTGAAAGATATGTTTCTCCTCCAGCCCAAACTTCAAAAGTTTTCATGAAACAAAATTGTCACCTCCCACCTCCAGTTAGTTCTAGATAAATTTAAATGCCAGAACTGAGAAGGCAAAAAAAACACTTTGAGGTGACAATTTAGCTGTGGTCTGTGGCTGCCACAAAGTACAGTTCTGCAGGGTAGCTTTGAAGAGAGTGTGAATGATGAATATGGAAAGATAACAAAATGCTGCATACGCTTATTGATAATAGATAACGCCTTAGATGAGGCTATCACAAGCTGGCTTTTCATATAAAAGACTTCATGAAAACTCATTAAATCAATCTCCAGCCTAAACTGTGCTTTCTCCATTGCTAGTGGTCTCCTTGCTAGTGGTGTTCTCGAACTCCCAGATTAGAACAGGTATCAAAAAAGCTCATGAGCTCACTTTCAATGCTGCTGCAATGTTTAAGCAGTCTGTGGTGGTAATGTTGTAAAAGGGAGACCATGGTTAGTGGATCATGTGTTTTATTCCAATGGGGAAAGTTGAGATGTAAATGTCAAATTTTAATTAGGATTATGTTATCTAAATACAGTATAAGTTCATTTTATACTGGTGTTGTTCCATATATGTCTAGGATTCATCTTGAAATGATCTGTCCTATTTATATGACCTTACTAGGCCACACCATACTTAATGTTTATTCTCCCCACACTTGTAGTAGTCCTATATTTTTAGCAGATGGGTACCCAAGTTACAGACATAACTGGAGAACATCTATTTTTTCACCCAAAATGAGAGTTAGGAAGAGTTGAGACACCTAGGTATGAAGACATGATCCAGATATCCTGCTTTCCCAAGCTGCTTAATACTAGAAGCATGTAAACCTCACAAGTTGGCTTGGTGTTAAGCCTATACAGTGCTTTGAAGCTAGGCACAAAAGCCTGTCAAAGAGGCATTGAGTCTGAGAAGTGAGGAAACCATGCACCAATCAAGACCTGGAGAAAAGGTTCCCAACCTCATCGGAGTGCTGTGAGCATGAAGCACAGCAGTAACAGCCATTTTCAGTCAAAAACACGACCTGTAGGATCCAGCTTTATGTAGACTAGCTGAACGGTTGCTTCAGACAAGGCAAACCTGTGTTAGTTCCCTTTTCCCCCAGACAGGAGTCATAGCCACAACCTGAACTTGCAGCTGTCACGTTCTTGGGAGACAAAAGCTGACGTGAAGAGGTGCAAGAGCTGTGGGCAAGAAAAGGAGCAAGCAAGAGAGTGAGTAATTGGTTCAGGCACTCATGTGAGAGTGCTGGAAGAGTTGTATTGCAGTCCCTGTCTCCAGAATTAGTTCTGTACTTTTTTTTTTTTTTTTAATCCAGTGATTTTTCCCACTGTCATCATCTTGACAGCTTGCTTGGCCGTGTAACTTCTTGCAGCAGCCCTCCTGCTCTCATACCAGTGCATGCACTGAGTGGTGGTGATGTCCTTAGCACAGTTGGTACCTTGCTTCCCTGAAGGGGTCGGTTTTTGGAACAGGTTTAGGAAAAAACATTGTTCACAAGGTATTTGTGTCTTGAGAGTTTCCAGTAAGGAGGAGGAGACCAGAAGGGGCTTGCTTCTGCCAGAGCAAGTTATGAATTTTCAAGGACTCTATTTTTATTTTTTTTCAAGGGCTCTATTTTGTCTTCCTTTCCCATCTTCCCTTCCCTTGCCAACAGGCTCGTAGAGGTGTGTTTGCCATAGAATGAGGAGTGGTGACAGAGAGAGCATGGGCAGGAGTGGGCTGCTACCACTACAGGAGAAAAAGGCTTGCAGCTCGCTTCTGAAGCATATGTGGGAAAAAAAGGTTTTTAGGAGGAGCAAGCTGTCTGTTAGGGTTTGTCCTGGCAGTCCATCTGCAACAGGTTAGAGGTTGAGCATCCCAGCCTAATGCAGAAAACGCCCACAGAGGACCACAGGCTGCTACCCCAGGTATTTGGCAGAACTTTTGAGTCCTGTCTGGTCATCCTATGCACCTTCCAATTCGTGCATCTTCAAGGTAGGGATTCACCAGGGTAGTTTCTAGTCTGACAACCCTACATGTTCCTGAGAAGTGGGAAGTGAGAACTGGAATCTCCTCAAGATGAGGGAGAGCTGTGACTGAGCTTTACACTCCCGTCAGCGCTGCAGCTATTACGCTGTTAAATGTGGCAGCTCTGCCTCTTTTCTCTCCTCATTCAATTAGATGCATAACCTCAGGAGCAGACTCTGTGGTCTGACTCACAAATGCATTTTGATGCCTTAGTGGATAAACCGAAGTTCCAGTGGCAGCAGGAGTTAAGGTGCAACCTCGCTAGGGAACGGTTTAGAAGGAACCTGTAATTTAACCGATTTTCTCTTTTTTTCTCCTTTTTTAGTGATTACATAGGAAGACTGTGATAGAATATGAAGCTGGGTCTTAGTGTATGACAGAAGAAAGTGATCAAATTCCCCCATGTTCTATCTTTCTTAAGAAATTGTAGAGCTTAGTGATATGGTTTAATGGAGGACTTGTTAGTGTTAGGTCAGAGGTTGGACTCGATGATCTTAGAGGTCTCTTCCAACCTGGATGATCTGTGAAACATAATTTCTTATCATCCGGCATCTGTGCTGTGTCTCAAAAGCTACCTGACCCAGCAAAGTAATGGGATTAGTAGATACGGCAGTGAGTTGGCATCGAAACGCGTTTCCAGCAGCAGTGGTTTATGTCATGTTTGTGTCATAGATTTCTTTAAGCAAGCTTCTGAAAGCTTTTGGCAATCTGCTCGCTCCTTCTGTTTTCTGTCTGCAGAATGATAGTTGTGCTTTGTGTGCCTCGTACGCTGATAGATTGCAAGCAATTTGGGATATGAACTGCCTCCTTCTTCATGCCTAATGTAATAGGGTCCTAATTGTGCTTGGGTCTTCAGGTTACGTTGCAGCACTGATAGTACTACCAGTAAACAAATTACACTATCATTAGTCCTGGAGTGTATCAACAGAACTGAGGCATTTTCTGCACTTTGCTTTCCCGTGATTTAAATTTGTTTATTCTGGCAGCAGGAATTAGCAGTGCAGAATATTCAAAGATTTATGAAGATGATGGAAAAACGTGACTTTCAGCGAGAAGTGCCCCTAAACACAACAAAACCTTTGCTGAGATTGTGAATGCTTTGGCTGTATGGTAAAACCAGCATTCTGGGAAGCTGACTCCTGTTTCTGGCCCTCCTGCTAGCTGATGGTGTGCCCTCAGATAAGTTTTTTTGTACTTAAGTCCTCAATGAGCTCAATCTGTAAGAGGGCAGCTTTTTTTTTTTTTTTTTCAAGTTATTCAGAGCTGACATTCTCTTGTGTCATCCTATGTAGCCCATAGTAAAGGTGAATTAATTCCTAACCTCCTCGTCTTTCTCCTTGCCCATCTGCAAATCTGTGATAATAATACAATTACGCTTTTTAAGAAGAAACTAGATGGTCAGTATTTGTAGTGTGCTGGAACAGACTTCTGTGAGTAAGACCACGAAGGCAATTAAATCATTAATTACTTCCTAAAGCGAGCTTCTAACAGAGATCTTCTTCCATGGGTGTATTTGACTTAGGCAATGACCACAGAATTGCACCAGATACTTATTTTTTAATTTATTTTCTGTAAACTCATAAAGTGAAATTCCCTGTTGGAGTAAATGAATACCACTCCATTTATTTCGGATATGCTATATGGATTCATTGTGTTTTAGGAATCAGGTCTATACTTAAAGCAGAACAAAAGATTAATTGTTCTTTTCATAACGATCTGAGGACAAACTCAGATCGTCTTCTTTTTCCATATGTTACCAAAAGTGCTTTATATTGCCTTTTTTTTTGTTGTTTCTTTACCTTTGGCAGTGGTATAATGTGAGAGTTATGCTTGTATCTGTACAGTTGAAAGCCTTTTTTTAAAAAAAACCTTTTTAATAACAGAAGCAGACTGCATAGATGCACATTAACAATTCATAGAATATGGCAGATTCACTGTGATTTAAAAAGCATTTTCCATTTAACATGATACAAATACAATGCAGTTCCCTTGAAACAACACTTGCCAAGAAGAAACAAGATCTGCCTATTTTTCTTGGATCAAAATCAACCCAGTTTAAAGCGTAAGCAGTGATAACCAGAGATTTCTCTAAATAGACACAATCTCAAAAGACTAAGGTAAGTCCAGAATAACTTCGCAGAGTGCCATATAGTCATATATGAACCTCAATATCTGTATAACTGGATGTGCACCAGCTTAGTATGAAAGTGTTTTGTACCAGGTGACTACGGGAGCATGCTATTCCTCTGGTCCCGTGTTCTGAAACATCTGCACAACTTCAGTGAGAGCTGTGCATGTGTATCTGCGAGGAAACTAAGGAGGGAATTCAATCAAAGTTATTTGTCTCCAGGAAGCTGTCTAGATAGTTTTGAAAAAGAATAGCGAGCAATGCAATTAGAGCTAACGTTAATAAGAATTGTATTGTAACAGACATTATAATTGAGCCTTGAAATAGAGCCAGATGAATTTTGCTTACCTAGAAAGAACTTGTTTTATCGAGCATGTTCACAAGATACATTATACCAGGAGAGTGTGATGTCTGTCCATCTTTTGGAACCTGCCAATTCGCATACTTTTTTTACTTGAAGTAATTTCTTCAAATTGTCCTGGCTTAAAAGATGAGAGCCTTTTACTTCACTCTGAAAATATATATGAGGCAGCTAAGCACTTATAAACATCCTTTTTCTTGAGTGAGTCATAACTGCAAAAAGTAGTTTTGACTCTTCAGTCAAGAACATGTTCCTTTGATGCCCTACAGACACAATTTGTCAATCTTAAAACTCTCGATAAAAGCAGTAAAATTTTCATCTTTGCTTGTTTAATGCAGACTGGTTACCTTTAAAAATATTTCAGTGGCATGGTCATTGGAATCCTGAAGCAAAAGTTTGAGGAGATTTTTGCTAGGCATTTTGCTGTCAGCTTAGTGACTGATTTCAGGCATATTACTTGTGCCTTCAGTTTTGAAATCTGACAAGAAAGAGGACTGCGCCTCACAAAATTGTCTTGAAATTAATGCTTGCAAGTGCCATGAGACTCCTATAAGAAGAGACTATTGACGTGAAAAAATCATTTGACGAATAAAAAGGGTGCAGCCATTTGTAAGAAGAAATGTAGTAGCTTCAGCAGCTAAATTAGTGAGTTTAAATTGAACATATCAAATTGTTGCCTGATGGGAAAGGATCAGAGTAATAAACTAGAGCCTCAAGTTTCCCAGTTCCTCCTCTGCACTGAACGCTGTTTTGCCATGCACTGTACCCATTGGTTTCAGTGAAATTAATTCAGGTATTAGATGCTATTTAATGTGGGTAAGTGAAACGGAAAAGGAGTTTGAAATTATCCAACAGCATTTTTACAGGCAACCTGTGCTGCAAATACAGTTTGACTAAGTATTGGACATCGCTCCCCTTAAAGGTGATTCCTGTGGCACTGAGGGGTTATTTGGACAGCTGCTAATGCTCTTTGTGCAAAGAAAGGGAAGAGTAGGATTGCCTGTAAACTCTGTCTTCTGTTCATTTTGGAAAAAAGACAGGATGAGATTTCTATTTTTTTGTCTTGCAGAGTAAAGGAGATTATAGATTTCTTCAAGAGAACACACACAGGCACTTTTTTTTTTCCCCAGACAGACACTTCCCTGCCAGTATGAGACATGCTGAATAATTTGGTGACTGCTAGCTTCTGTTGTGGAGCACGTACTAAACTCTATAGGATTTTCTTTCATGGAGGTGCTGGAGCATCATGCTCTATTCCCATTGTGCATAGAAATGAAATTGCTAGCAAATAATTAAACCTCCTACTCCTACCTCACAAAAACCTGAAAGACATTGATTTCAGGTTTTATTTAAAAAAAAAAAAAGTTTGAAAATCAGATTATGTAATGTAACAAGGAGCCAGTGGCCTCTGTGCATCAGTTTTTTTAAAGCACGGAACTGATCCAAACAGTTCTTCTAGAAAATCAAATTGCTATTTTCAAACAAAATATTTTTGCTGTATCCTCATCACACTTGTTTTCAATGATCCTAATGTGCCACTCTGCATACTTACAGCTCCTGCATATATTTAATGACAAGGATCTGATAGGGTTGCATCAGTTCTTGATAATTAGAATTCCAAGTCCTCACAAGATTGAGCAATTCTTTGATTTTTTTTCACAATTTATTAGAAAACAAACAGCTGTTGGAACTGGGGCTGCCTAGTGCAGTAAATA